CTTCGCTTCCCTACAAATCTGAAATGGTATACATTCGTGATTTTAGTAACCTAAAATAATAACCAAGAGAATTTCTAAAAAGTTTTATTCATTACAATCACGTAATGCATTGTGTAGGTATTTGAGGTGGTTCAGATAGTAACTACACACTTGGTGTTCTATGTTATAATTAGAAAAATTAAAAGTATTAACTTAAGTATGGACAATTCAAATTAAAAAGTATTTTCTGTATGGTTACATATTATAACATTCAGGCATTTAAAATATTACTATTATTTCTTAAGAAACAATTGCGAATTAAAAAAAAAACCAATGCAATAAAGAAGTTAAAAAGTTAAGGATTTATAAATGACCTCTTCCACACCTACTATTTTCGAGACATGACATATTTTGAGTGATAAAACAGAACTAAAAATCGATTAATATAGTATATTTTTTTTTCAAAAGTAATTAACAATCTGTATCCATACTAGACACAATAAGAAAATTTGATAAAGGTTAACATTATCATGAGGTTTTGTTGAAAGAAGCCACCCATTAATAGCACTTTCTGCTAGATTGATAATTATTTATATTTTTTTCGTCTCACGAGGATTTCTAGGTATTATGGGAGTGGCCGAGTTTTTTATTAATTGATTTGGGTGATTATTTAGACGGTAATGGAATCTTTTATGAAATATTTTAGCTCCGTCGTTTTTGTGTTAAGTTTTAAGTCGGTGTGTAGTGTGTAGTATATGATTTGACACGTAGGGTGGAGCATTCATTAATTTTCTAAGCGCAATATTTTGAACGGTTTGGATTTGTCTTTTTCGCATTGCCCCAAAGCTGAAGACCGTAGGTCCATAGTGGTTTCAATAGAGTTTTGTATATAAGCAGTTAAGTTCTAATAGAGGTGTGATTATTATTGGATAATAAGGGTTTAAGTAAGCGAAGACGATGATTCAATGATAATCTTTTGGTTCTGATATGATTACCCCACGTTAATCTTTGATCTTAAGTAAGGCCGAGGTATATGATTTTTGGAGAATAGGGGATTGGAATTCCGTATAGAACAACACCAGGACAAGGAGTATGTCTGAAAGTAGATTTAGTATATAGAGGATAATCTCGACAGACAGTTAAAAACACAATGGCATATAAGCTAGTAGGTAGATATACTTATGGAAGTCACGTGACAATTCAATCGTATTAGTACGTACAGGGATGGTATATTAAAAGAGGTTCGTCGTTCGTGTGTGTAGAAGACAAAAACCTAGCTACTTATTATTAATACATCTTCTTCACGTTTCACAAAAAAAATCATCGCTAAGACGTATGTAATAATGTCTGAGTTCATAAGTTGTAAAGAAAATAGTAAATAAAACAACAAAAAATTAGTCCATTAAGAAGTTTAATCATTGCACTACTCTCATTTTCCCATAATTCAATATTATGTACCATAGAGTGACAACATACATGTACAAGCCACAATATTTTTTATTTTCAATAATTATAAACGATTGCCAAGCCAGAGCATGCCAGGTCAGGGTGATTGGGTGGTACTATGACGGCTAACTGCGTTACAGAGATGTATAATCATATTAAATCAATATAACGAAAACATTGAAATCAAAAACCAGACAAGTTACCTTTAAGACCTTACTATACAAAATTATTCATAATTCGTTTAAATCGTTTGAAACTTGTAATAAATATTCATGGATCATGATACACTACGAAAATTACATATGTAGGCTGTTTTTGTTTTTAACTATCCACAATATGGCAAAATTCAAAATAAATCATGTTACTTTCCGGGTAACTTTTTTTTCAAGGTAGAAAACTTAAGTGGAATATTCTATAAAACTTTCAAATGAAAAGCAATTTTGTATTAATTTCTAACTGAAAAATGATTGGCAAATTTTTACGATTTTCACGATTTTTACAAAGTTCCGACTTAAAAGTTCAGACCAAAATGATTGTGAATTTACTCTAAACAATTTTATCATGCATGGAAAATTAATATCTAAACATTTAGTGAAAATTTAAAGTAAATAAGTTCTACAATCTACAGTTATTAGTTTTTGAATTACACCAAAAAAACAAAATTGACTGGGTCAAAAAATGGTTTTTGAACAAAAATTCTCATTTTTACTTAATTTATTACCCATGTGTTTTTCCCGATGCATTTGAAAGTAAATCAGAATTTCTTACTTTTGACCTCACAAGGTTACCAACTAGATCCATTTTTCTACTAGAAGAGACGTTGAAATATAAATAGGAACATTATTAGGTACTGCCCAAAAGGTGATGACAAATAGAAAAAAAAATACTCCCAATCATTACAAAATCTAAATCTAAAAGTGATTCAATTTATACCATTAAAAGCGCTAAAACATTACATTTTTCAACACAAATCCAAAAGTATTATGACATTGGTGTTATTTTATTATCTAGGTTTTTAGATGGTTTAAAAAGTTGTCTGTTATCGAACAACGATTGTTTTACTATTTGCTATTCAGTAATAACAAAAATAAGTACAAATCGTACAATGAATGTCGCCAGCTAAAAAAAAGAAGTCACCGCTAAAAAAATTTTAAAAAGTACCTATTAAAAATATGCAAATATAATTAATTAGTTAATACTATAAATTAAATTAATTTTAACAGCAAGTTATAATGATAACGAAAACTGCTAAATTTAATTTAATAAGGTGAAAGAGTGGCTTGAAGGTTTTCGTAAAATCATAGGCAGACATTTGGTTGAATTTAACAGGCTAGAAAAAAACAATAAACTTTCAAATAGTTTAATTTATTTTGGGGGGGGGGAGGGTTATTGAAATTGATAAGGGTTAAGCCCCCCCCTCCCTCACGATGACTGGCTAAAGTGGATATGAAAGCATTTTTAAAAAACGAAAACAAATTAATCAAAATTATAAAAAAGCTAATTAAATACCTACAACACCTACTTTGATTTTCTAGGACTTGTAACTACTAAATCCTAATTATGCAGATACATTTTGTATGTTATTTTTCAGTCTTTGAGGGTGATAATTGGCGACGCTCATTACATAAACTTTATACTAATATAAGGTCTATGCACTCTTTGTGAAGTAGATAGATAAGAAACATTAAGTCAGACCATGGTCTTTGTGTGGATAGATGAGAACCACATGGGCGGCGATTCCAAAAAAAAAAATTATAGTGAAGCATTCAATGTTTGCATATACCATAGATGTAGATCAAAGAAGCAGGTACATTTGATAAACAATTGATTTAATATAATGAGTTAAAAAAAAGAAAATATTAAAACCAATACGAACAGAAAATATAAATTAAAAATTAGGCAAAAAATAAACCTGAGCACTACAGTAAGCATGACAAGACTGTAAAATTAAACAGTAGTATAGTACCCACTGAATAATAAACACAGTTTAGTATTTTTGGTTTAAAAACATATTTTACTTTGAAAAATACAAAAAAAAATAAAAAATAGAAAAATTGTCGGCAATTACCTTACTCAACATTTTGACTAAAAACAAAACAGAAAATCGCATTTCATTTTTTGTTTTGAAGATGACATTATTTTAATATTTAACCAGAGGTGCCACCAAACATGAATATAGCCTATATAGCGTATTCTTGAATCTTGATAAGTAAAATTCATTTTTTTATTATTACAAACTACCGGTATAATTAACAATTAACGATCATTAATCATTACTTAATTCGAAGGGATAACACCAAATACTTTAAAAAGATTTCATGATTTAAATTTTGTAAAGTATTTAACACCACTACTCACTCTAACTTCTTAATTTTCAGCACTAGTCACTAATATTTAGGCAACTCTACGACAGTAAATAATCTAAACAGAGAATATCAATAGAAATAACAAAACTGAGATATCACAATTAATATATCCAGGGACTAGAAATAATAAATTATTCTACTTCAGTTATTAACTTATTGTACAATATATATTAGTATACTGATAGTATGATATTTATAAGTTTGAAATTCATTAGACAATATGGATATATAGGCCATTTAAACTAGTTCTCTTGTTTTTTAAAGTCAACCATCAGGCAAGAAATGTTAACAAACTACTTATGACATCAAAAACCATAACAAACATCTACCCAGTTTCAGTGTTGAATTTTATATAATTTGAAAACATACTGTGCATATATTTAATGAAAAAAATCAAGACTGTTAGAAATGTGTACATCACTATTTATATAAGAAGATTGATACATATTTTATACTTAAGAACTGAAATGTTATTGTAAATTGATTAGTGTTAAAAATTGTCATTCAGAATTCTTCCATAAAATATTGTATGATGTTATATTTTGCATTGGTCCTTAAATTTCAATATTTTAATACACATACATAAGGTATAAAAACTTAAATATTTCAAATTAATAACAACTGTTTAAAACTTTTTATAATATGAAAGAAAAATAATTTAAAAATCATAATAATTATTTAATTGTATCAGTAATTCAAAAATATAAGAAAACAGTTGAACTAAAAATAAAATCTTAAAAACAAAAATATATACAATGTTCACAGTGCACAAATTTGTAATTAAAAATCCATTGACAATAATGAAATAAACAGTGAACTCTTAAATATAATGGTCCAAGTAAATGTAAAATTATTTGTGATAATTGCGTAAACCTTCAACAAATATATTATTGAGTACTGATAAAATTATGATGTATATTGCATCGATCTTTTACAATTTAAAAACCAAAGTATAATATAAAAACATCATTTATTTTTAGTTTTATACAGGTTCACATAAAAACCAAAACAATTATATGAACTCAAACCAATGTATCATTAAAAATATATTACTTATCTCAGTACAATCTTAAATTTTAAATAATTATAATAATGTATAATAGTTAGGTTAAAAAATACTTTAATCTTAAGTGAATTTAATTTTAAATAAAAATAAAAGCAGTTTCTATCAAAAAGTATAAGTAATTAGAAATCCTTTGATCCATCTAGTAAGTTGTATTTTATCTAGGCAAAAAATAATATTTTTATATTTATAAGAGTAAAGAAAAGAAATAAAATCATACATAAACTAAAAAGTTGTACCTGTTTTCAGGATACTGACTAATTAATATTTAATATAACATAATATTAATTTAAATTAAGGAATAAGCATTTGAACAATTAAGAATGATTTAATAAGTTACCATAAACTATAATCAGTGTCTTCTTGATATAAAGTTAAGAAAAATCCAATAAATGTCAAATACACAACTATGTTCCCACACAATGTAAAATTACAGGCTGTCCATGCAATCTAAAAACAATATAATAAAGTTTAAAAAAAAATTTAATTCTGAAAGTAAAGGAAATATTGAAAATCAAAATTAGAACTTACAGCATTAACTCTGGCCATTATTATTGGCAATGCAAATGAAGACACCACTATACCCATTGTAATAAATACAGCTAAATCCATATTGGCATTACCGGATCCTGAGTAATCATTGAACCGTTTCATCAACATGGTCGGTAATGGTGCCAGCAGGTAAAAGATTACTACTATAAATGGCCACCAAGAACTAAAACAAAGAAGTTAGTTATAGTTATTTGAAAAATTATGTTGAAATACTAACTAAAACAACTTAATTCTCTACGAGTAATAAATAATAACAACCAAATGGCTTACTTTAAATCTGGTAATGCACATGCCAATATGACTAATGTCATACCAATGGAACCAGCAAAAGCCAAACTCATCAAACTGTAAAGAAGTATAACAGTTAAATTAAATGTACTTCATTAAAACACAATATTTTTAATTTAAAGTGCTCACAGAGCATATACACCAATTTCCAAACGACACATTTTAATTTCTACTTTTATCCTTTAACATAAATCTGTTTTATAACGTAATAAAATTGACACTTACGCTATTTAACATGAAATTGAAGTAACCAAGGAGATCATGAAACAAAAGAAAATACAACATTAAATTATTTATTTATTACTTAATCTAAAAACTATACAATAATAAACATAGAAAACACTTATAATTTTTATTATACTTAAAGTAATAATATTACAAATGAGACATATGCTATAAGCGATTAAAAATTCAACATTTAAGAGGTACTATTTAACTTCAGGTTCTCACCTCATTTGTGATTCCGCCACATAAAAAAAATCTTAAGTATAACCCACAGTACCTATAACCATTGATTTTTTTATAACGAACATAAATTATAAAATATACCTAACAAAATATAAAATCAATAGTATAACCAATCCTAGATAAATAATTTAAGTCTTCTGTTGGCATTTTATTTGCTATAGTATTATTAACATAGGCACTTAAATAATAATTTAAAATAATATTTTAAGAATTAAAATTATTAAATATGAAAAAATACCGTGGTTTTTTAAAATCAAACAAAAGTTTCAAATTTTTATTATTTTTAAACTTAGTTGATGGTATTTATTTACTATGAGAAACAAATAGTCATAATAATGTAATATAAAATAGGGAAATTATTAACAAATAAGTTTTTACTTTTGCTCATTTTATATTTATAATTAGTAATAACCATTATACTTATAGTTAATACCACCATAATATTTAAATATTATAGTGCAACAATAAAGCACAGCTATAGAGGAGTACCCTGGGTTTATCAATTGGGGGGGGGGGGCTAAACAAAGTAAATCAGAATTTGATATCTGTTTAAGATATTATTATAAATTTAAGATTTATACCATAACATGGCCAATGGGGGGGCCTGAAGCCCACTTAGCCCCCTCCCCTTTCAGGGCATACCACTGCAAAGCTAAATAAATAAAACAAAGATTATATAATTAATGGTATGATCTATAAGTATATAATATGATAGAGGATGCTAAATTTTTTAATAAGATAATACTCTGAAAAAGAGGAGAATGTTAGTGAAAAATAAATTTGATTTTGGTATAAGTGCCCAAGTGCTAAGAGTTGATGAGACATGAAAAAACTCTTATTATTTCATTCATGCAGTAAATGAACACAGACATACAGTACTAAAAAACTACTATCAAATCATACACCCATTACCAGAACTCACTCATCGATCACTCATTCTTTAAATATTTAAGATAGATGGTAGGAGGAGGTCTTCGCCAGTACTCTAGTAAATCAGATTGGACTGTGCAATCCAAACATGCTTCAATATTGCATTATCATATATTATTATACCATGTAACTCCAAATGTATGCATGAATTATTTTGTGCAGTTTTATATGATTTTGATACATTTTCAATTTGATTTCTTTCCTTAAACATTTATTATTCTTTTCATCTGTTACAGTTGGTATTTTTCTACAAATTCTGTACAAAGAATTTATAAATAGAAATGACACATTTAACTATAATAATTTTGATGTTTCCTTGTATAAAATTTAAATTAAAAATATTTTTCAATGAAAGACAAGGATATTCGTATCAGACAAAAAAAATATTTAATAGGTATTTTTTATAACTGTTTTTAATTTATAAATGGAGAATAAAATAACTCACAGCTGAGAAGCAGTTTTTGATGTCATTCATAGATATCACATAATTTTATATTATCATATCTTCTATTACAAGAATTACTGCTCTATATCAAGCTCCACTAGTTAATACAAATTTCTCCAAAGTTCTCCTTTTATTTTTCTCATACATCTTGCAAACGAAAAATCTTAGTTAATTATTAATATTGTATTAAATGTCAAGTTTAAATTTTTTTTTTTTAAGTATCTTTTACTTTAATAGAGTACACTATTGCAAATATTTCTAAATTTGTTTGAAACTGTAACATCTTAATTTACACATTATACTTATATAATGTACTTCATGTATCTCAGCACTTGCCAGTTAAATTATAAATTGTACATTATATAGCCATTGACCAATCTTACACATACCACCGTAATAGCAGTATTATTGACGATATGGATGGTAACAATAGATCATGCTGCCTGTGCAATTACCTTTTAATCCGGCCATCGTGAACGACAAATGTCTGACGTGACGGTGCAGAAGCTTACGGCAATCGACTAGAAATATAGATATACGTAACTTTTATATTTTATTGTAACATCCGTTAATGTAATATAATTTATACGACGACTAGTCGATGATAAATAAAGAATAAATAAAAACGGATATACTATAAATATATGTATTTATTATATATAAATAATGAATATAGTGCTGAAAATACTTATAAAAAATATTTAAAGTATAAAATTGAGGGATACAAACAACAATAATAATGAAACGCGACGTGCGTCGTACACGATCCACATATAATGACTATTAATTAATATTTATAATAGACAATAGATTATTAGATTAAAAAATATTAAAAAGAATAGACATTAGACAATCATACAATAATATAAATGTATAATCTATATTATCACCACACACGTCTTATAGGAAGGTCTATACCACGGACTAAGATAAGTCACGATTTAAGATAGTGCTGTGAGTCTATGGTTATCACACATTCAGACAAGACGTTATCATGGCGTAAACATTTGATTCGTACTATCAGCAGGCGACACAGACACAGTGTTGTCGTTTGTGTTTAATTATGGAGTGCAGTGGTCTGCAGTGCCAAAATATGGATTGTCGAACGGTGAGACGCCAGCCGACCCGTAGATATTATACATAATAAATGAATACGATATTAATAATATTTTTCATTGATTCATAATAATTGACTTCGATTGCAACTCGCAATTACCAGACTTGGAAACCCATCCGAACACAGAACCGTGGTCGGTCGTTGGTACGACCGTTTTTCCCGCACCGGCCGCCATCTTAGGCCACGGCATGATTGTGCTTTTTTGATTTCCCGGTCCCTACCGCCACCACCGCCGCAACGAACCACTGAATTACACATTTACACACACACATACACACACATACACATTAACTTCTCAGTGTCTCACACCGACACACACTCACACAAGCAATTCGTAACGAGTATTGTTGTTCGCTTTTGTGATTTTGTGTCACCGTGTTTCGTTTTTATTATTCGTCAGTCGCCCCCCCGTCAGAAGTGTTTCCTGAAACACTGTATATAAAATCATCAAACGCATCGTTCGTTTTACATTAGTCGTACGGACCAGTGTACGTGGACGAATCACCGGAATCCTCGATATCCATATCCAGCCTGCCCGTTGATTTCGGCTTAGACAATTTTCTAAAGTAAAAAACCAAAACTATCGAAACCCCGTTGCTTGCGCAATACCCGGCCGCAGCTGATCCTACCAATAATCATGTCCGAACCAGCAAAAGGGTAAGTAAAAAATAAAAACGTCCTTCTTCGATAAAATCCTCCTCCTAATTTCATCTATTGTCCAATCCTCCGTGTGTCATTATTTTACCGTGACTTAACACGACTGTGTTGTCGATACTTCGATTACTTCTCAGGCCTGGGATTTGTGTTCGGTGTATTAGTGGCAATACACCGGATACAACCCGAAAATCGCGTATGGCGAACGCGGAAATACAGTGCGCGATGTTGATGATGACCTGCACTTAAATGTCATCTAACGACCACTAACAGCTATAAGTTAAATTAAATGTCCACCTCTCAAACAATGAAGTCTACATTTTAAATACTCTCAAGTATTTAAAAAATAAAATTGGTCCACAAATAGATTGTATAGACAATACTATAAAATACCCGAACAAAGAAACATTTACACAACCAAATGAAGTTGCTTTGGGATTATTTTTTTGTGACCTAAAAATAACCATCTTCGTTTTTTACCACGTCATGGAAAAATTTTTAATGTGATTGTGTTATTCAATTAAATGTATATATTATATAATATTGGTAATTTCTTCAACTTACAAAATATGATTTGCATTTATTTTATTTGTATCTTATCAATATAACATAAGTTCAATACAATTTTAACATTAAATATACATAGATACTTTAAATATAGCTAAAATGTTACCTTTAGCTTAGAGTACCTACCTCCCATTTGTTTAGAATCATTTTTAAGTATGAATAATATTTGTCAACATCAATTATTGGTAGTTGTTTCCAAATTTTAGTATTTATAAAACTACTGTAGTTCAAACAACTTACAAAAATAGTTATACATTTTTAACTTTTCTTACCAAAAAATTATTGAGACACTGAATTTATTTAATAACATAAATATTACCTTTTCCAAAGTATCTCATTTATATGTGTGTACTGTCGTAATATAATTAATAATTTGACCAATTTTAGTGAGGAGTTAGCAACTGCGATTTTGAAGCAAAAAGATCGTCCAAATAGGCTCATTGTAGAAGAAGCCATCAACGATGATAATTCAGTCATTGCACTATCTCAGGTACCTACCAACAATTATTATTTAATCTATAAATAATTATCTAACAAAACGTACAACTCAATTTAATTTAAAATAACTGACGTCATATATTTGTTTTAAATCTTAGGCTAAAATGGATGAATTACAACTCTTTCGTGGAGACACTGTGTTGCTAAAAGGCAAACGCCGTAAAGAATCAGTTTGTATTGTATTATCAGATGAAACTTGCCCAGATGAAAAAGTACGTATGAACAGAGTTGTGCGTAACAATTTACGGGTCAGAATATCAGATATTGTTCAAATACAACAATGTCCAGATGTAAAGTATGGAAAACGTATTCATGTGCTTCCAATTGATGACACTGTAGAAGGACTAACTGGGTAAAATTCACCTAACTTTTTTTCTTACATTTATATTTATTAATATAAGACAAATTTTTGTTGTAGAAATTTGTTTGAAGTTTTCCTTAAACCTTACTTCTTAGAAGCATATAGACCTATACATAAAGATGATAATTTCATTGTTCGTGGAGGCATGAGAGCTGTAGAATTCAAGGTTGTTGAAACTGATCCATCGCCATATTGTATTGTTGCTTATGACACAGTTATTCATTGTGAAGGGGATCCAATCAAAAGAGAGGTAACTTAAATTACTTAAATTGGTTTACCATAGATTTTAAATCAATCAAATTTTTAGGAAGAAGAAGAAGCATCAAACACAGTTGGCTACGATGATATTGGAGGTTGCCGTAAACAATTGGCACAGATTAAAGAAATGGTCGAACTCCCTCTCAGACATCCAAGTTTATTCAAGGCTATTGGTGTAAAGCCACCTAGAGGAATTTTGTTATATGGACCTCCTGGAACTGGAAAAACACTCATTGCCCGTGCTGTTGCAAACGAAACTGGAGCATTCTTTTTCTTAATCAATGGCCCCGAAATTATGAGTAAACTCGCTGGTGAATCTGAAAGTAACTTGAGAAAAGCCTTTGAGGAGGCAGATAGAAACTCTCCTTCTATTATTTTCATTGATGAATTAGACGCTATTGCACCCAAGCGTGAAAAAGTAATTTGATACAAATATTAACAACTTTCAATCATTTATTAAATACCTATAAATTGTTTATTTAGACTCATGGTGAAGTAGAACGTCGTATTGTATCTCAGTTATTAACCCTCATGGATGGCTTAAAATCGTCGTCTCACGTCATTGTAATGGCTGCAACTAATCGCCCAAACTCTATAGATTCAGCTCTCAGGCGTTTTGGACGCTTTGATCGTGAAATTGATATTGGAATACCAGATGCTACTGGACGTTTAGAGGTTTTGCGTATACATACTAAGAACATGAAACTTGCTGAGGAAGTTGATTTAGAACAGGTAAAATTAATTAAACCTAATTGTATATACTTCATTTTCTTTAATCAACAATTGATTTTAATGTAACCAATAGATTGCTGCTGAAACTCATGGTCATGTTGGTGCTGATCTTGCCTCATTGTGTTCTGAAGCTGCCCTGCAACAAATCCGTGAAAAAATGGATTTGATAGATTTAGAAGATGATCAGATTGATGCTGAAGTATTGAATTCGTTAGCTGTCACCATGGAAAACTTTAGGGTAAATTGAATTTACTTTTAATAGATTTTTTTTAAATTAAAATTTGTATTGCTTTTTTTAGTATGCCATGGGTAAGAGTAGCCCAAGCGCTCTAAGAGAAACCATAGTTGAAGTTCCAAATATTACATGGGAAGATATTGGAGGTTTGGCTAATGTGAAGCGTGAATTACAAGAACTTGTTCAGGTATGTTGTTTTAAATCTAATTTTTTTTCTATACCCGTGTTAATATATTTATTTTTATGGGTGTAGTATCCAGTTGAACATCCTGACAAGTTTTTGAAATTTGGTATGCAACCATCTAGAGGAGTTTTGTTTTACGGACCTCCAGGTTGTGGTAAAACTTTATTAGCAAAAGCCATCGCCAATGAATGTCAAGCTAACTTTATATCCGTCAAGGGTCCTGAACTTTTAACTATGTGGTTTGGTGAATCAGAAGCTAATGTCCGTGATATCTTTGATAAGGTAAAAGTACACTAATAACTTATTTTCTTTACCAATTTTTAATGAGAATTTTGTACAGGCAAGAGCTGCTGCTCCATGTGTACTCTTTTTCGATGAGTTGGACTCCATTGCTAAATCTAGAGGAGGCAATGTTGGTGATGCTGGTGGTGCAGCCGACAGAGTAATCAACCAGATTTTGACTGAAATGGATGGTATGGGTGCCAAAAAAAATGTATTCATTATCGGTGCTACTAACAGACCTGGTAAGCTCTAAGCTTTTAGTAGTAATTTGTTTTATAACTCCCAGCTCTAAAATAGAACTAAATATTAATGTTTTTTCTAGATATCATTGATCCTGCTATTCTCCGTCCAGGGCGTTTAGATCAATTGATCTACATTCCTCTGCCTGATGAAAAATCGCGTGAAGCCATTTTCAAGGCTAATTTGAGAAAATCTCCTGTTGCCAAGGTAATTTTTTTTTTAATTTGGATTATCAACATTTATAATATATATTATACTATACATTAGGATGTTGACCTCGACTACATTGCAAAAGTTACTCATGGTTATTCCGGTGCGGATTTGACTGAAGTATGTCAACGTGCCTGCAAACTTGCTATTAGGCAAAGTATTGAAGCTGAAATAAGGCGTGAGCGTGAAGCTGCCTCAAACCAAGGAATGGAGGTAATTGTTATACATTTGTATACAAATTAATTCAAAAATACTGTAATTTAATTCAATTTCATATGTAGACTGATGTAGCTGAGGATGATCCTGTCCCTGAAATTACAAAAGCTCACTTTGAAGAAGCTATGTTATATGCCCGTCGTTCTGTAACTGACAACGACATACGCAAATATGAGATGTTTTCTCAGACATTACAACAGTCTCGTGGTTTTGGCACAAACTTTAGGTTCCCGTCAACGACAGGTCAGCCTGCTGCCAATAATGCAACAACTGGTGGCGATCAAGCTACGTTCCAAGATGATGGTGATGACGATTTGTACAACTAAGCCTGTTTTCCCTTCCCTCAAATAATAGATTTAATGTATATTCGAAGATTTAAGAATGATTCAAACATTTTTCTTTTTTTATATATATTTTAAAATAAAATGAAGAAATTTAATACACATATGATTTATAAATATTTAAGTTTATTAGGTTTTTCTAATGTTTGTATGTGGTTATACAGTATATAGGAATAAAAAAAAAATGGTGGGATACAAAAAAACTGTTACATCGGATTTTTTTTTATAATTATTTATTTTTTCTTTTTATAAGAATTATTATTAATAAAATTTAAACAAAATACAAACACAAATTAAAAGGAATAGTATTGCTTTTAGTCGGTGGTTGACTCGAGATCGTATGTGTCCATGATCGCAGCCATAACACTCCAAAGTGTATCCTTGTCCAAATCTTCAACCAATGCCTTAAAAAAAGTCATATTACAATTATTATTAAAAAAAAATGAGTATTAAGTTTTAGTAAGATAAAAAATAAAAACTACTTAAACAATACTTTCTCATTTCTATCAAACTTTACAATTTTTACTTTTAGAACGTTCAAGGATAATAAAACATTTTTAAGTAATATCCTAAGACGTCCTAAATATTAATACATTATTTTTCAAATGAACTGAATATCCTTAGAGTAAATGATCCTGTATAAAATTATATTCTATGGTTATTAAAATATGTCTTTAAATCAACAATCCTGCTATGTTGAAACAGAAGAGGCATATCACTTCAAAATGATTGGTATCCTTTTAAAAATCAGCTAAAATATACATCAATTAAATTGTTCTCAAATTCCAATGATCTTTCATACATTTAATTTTTGCTCATATTTTGAAGACAATATAATAACGTTTTTTGGCAAATAATTGCTAAAACGAAAAAAATTTGAACTAATTCAAAAACATTTTTTGAAATGAGAACGATTAAATACCATCAAAGCAGTAAAAATTTGAAACATACCTGGTACCAGGGTTGTATTTCATAATCAATTATTTGAGATGGAATGCCATAAACTTTGATTGCAAGTTCAATACAAGCGATTGCAATATGCTGTGCCTTAAACTGAAGAATATCGCTGCTATGATAGAAATCCTAAAACAAAACAATTTATTTTTACTTTTTATGACAACACATGTAAGCTTATGAACATAATAGCAAGAATGGATATGTTTAAAAACTAAATTATAATAAAAGTAAAAATTAGTTGGTAAATATACAATGAATCTCAACGCACGTGTAAGAAATCATAAGCCTTCTTAAATACAATGATGTCCTTGCCATGTTTTGAATAGAAAACTGGTCGTAGAGTCTGAACGTAGTGCAAAAAATACTGTAAAAATAATATAACACTTAGATATCAAAAACTATGAAGGAAAATAGGGTGATCAAACTAGAGTTAGGCAGAAACAAAAATCAAGCTGTGTAAACAGTTACATTAGTTCCAAATTAAACCAACATTGTGTAGGGATTATTCATGTCTAATAATAAGTTTTTGGAAAATGTATGCAATACGTAGCTGGTAAAATCGTGCATTTTTCCATATGTACACTTTAAATTTTATTATGAATGTTAAGACGTGTAGATAATTGATTGTCACAATTTGCTATCACCATCAAACAGTAGATAAAGTGTATACTTTCCTAAATCATAATATTATATTATTATATTCATAATTAGTATACCAAATTGAGTTTTGATAGCACTGACTGAGATATCTAGTCTACAATTGCTAACAAAACACCAGGCTTAATTTATACATCAATAATATCTACCATGTTATACATACAATATGTATGAATGCATCATTTTACAAGCAATAAATTAATGTATCTGAGTCAATAGTTTAAAATATTGCATATATTTTCAAAAACCTATAAAAACAAATATTTCCTACATTTCACATGGGCTTAAATTGCAACAAATGAATCCACAACACAGTTTAAGTATATGCAAAACTATGCCTCTGAAATAAAATTAGTTTAATAAGTTTAATTACATTATGTGGATGATCAAAAGTCGTGTCAAATTGTACAAATCTCATGGTTAACATTTCAGCATGCACAATGGAATCCCGGAAGTTCCAATATTCTTCAGCTAAGCGCAATGGAGCTGCATCCCTGTGTAATGTGTGGTAACACACATTTATCAAATCTCGAAGTCTGATGGTTTCATCGTGTACTTTGCTAGCCAAGTATAAAGTTGCACTAGCTATAGACTGTAAACACACATATTACATTATAATCACAGTACAACAATATTTATATTATAAATTGGTATAACAAGTTGGGGGATTTTAATACATGGATTTGATCTAATATTTATTTTATGCAAACGATCACCAAAAAAAACCTGACACATGATACTATAAGTGATTTGTTATTAGTAACATTCACTTGGGAAATTATAGTTGTAATCATATTGAAAAACACGTTATCCTGCCCACTGATGTAAAATGTCAGGATCATATGTTATTTATATATTTGCAACCAAGAATAGTACTTTACAACCTTTTGTAATTTCTAGCGAAATACACGGTTTCATTGTGAACACATTTGTAATAACTGTAGTGTTAAGTGTTTATTTATTATTGAAGAATAGTGGTACTCGGCCTTGATGGATATTCAATACCACAATTATTACAATTTTTGCGCCAAAACAGATGAACCCAATATTTTTGAATGATAGATCCTTGGTTATGATCTAAAAAATTAATTAAGTTCATAGAAGCAAACACATCAAAGTTCCTGATGGTAATAGAAATAAGAATAGTATAATGTAAAAGTAACATCATTTTGGTAGGCACATATTGTCACTTGTTATTTACTTATCATATTATCATTTATTACGTGTTAATAGACACACACAAGTACATAAAACATCAAAAAAAAATTTGTTTTACGTTTAACATTGGGGTTTCGAAACATAATATGCAAAACCCAAACTTTTAAGCAAAATAATTATTTGATATAATAACAAACAAACTTATTTAAATATTTCTTAACAATTAGCATCAGTCCGAATTAGGTTTTTTTTAGACACTTGTTTTCAATTTCATATTAAATCCTTAATGCTCCATTCAATAATTAATCAATTTATGACCCAGTTAAAAATTATATTGTAATTTGACAAAATAAAATTTTATGATGCCATGTTTCAACATAGGATATACTTACATGAAATAAGAATGCTGAAAATATTATTAATACCACCAATAGTTATCAGTATTATTAGTAATTACACTTACGTTTGGTGCCTCAAATCATACAGTGTCGTAACAATAATTTTATGCAGTTCAATAAGTGTGATAATGCAGATGGAAACAAACTTTTTTACTCTTATAAATATTTTGTATATTATTCTGCATAAAACCAAAAAACCCGTTAAACAACAAGGTCAGAATATAGGTATACAAATTTTTTATTTCTAATGTTTTTTATGTATAAATATAAAAAAATCTGTAAAATAAATACAAACTATCATTCATGTACAAAATGCAAAGCCTACTAAATAATGGTATCATATTCTCATTGATGAATTATAAAATAAATTTAAAAAACTATTACAATACACTCCATATTTAGATTTTTCATCTTATTTAAATTTTCGGTCTATTAACACTTAACTCATACCAGTAGTTGTACCATTTATATTTAATACATTTTACATAATATTGTAACTGGAACTTTAAAAATTAATACGCCCATTATATATTTATATATATTGTAGGTCAGTGACAATATTTATAATGTCCGTTAATACTATAAATTTTATTTTTAATGTTTTACATATTTCATATAACTGTACACATTATATATGATTATAAAATCTGTATAATTCAAATTTACAATAAAATATACATTAAGGACTGATTAATATTATTCATCTCATTGTGAAATTCCTTATTTAGTACTTATTAATTATTGATTTCAAATAAAAAAGGTGTCTCATATAATAGTCAAACAATTATGTTATGACAAACTTTTTGTTTCCTAGACAACCATTTTTCATTGTTGTATGATACAAGTGTTATACAACCATTATACATACAAAAAAAAACACTGGAAATTATTGACAGTAACAAATATATAAATATTAAGTTAATTATTTGAAATGATAATCAGTTACATTTATTTACACTTTTAAATTATAGTTAATTAACAACCTTATTCACGAAGGCAATAACTTTTCTTTAAATTATTATAAATATAATAATACAATTATACACCAATATATATATGTGTGTGTGTATAAATAAGAATAGTAAATTATAAATCATAATGAGGTTATTTTCTATTAACTATATTAATCTGTAAACCATAAAAACGCAAATAGAAATATGAAAAATAACATAAACAATCAATATTTATACTTTAATTATGTATTGCTAAAATGAATTAAAACCCAATAGGAACAGGTCCATCATTTTAATAGGACTATGCAACCCAAAATGAAACAGAAAAAATGTTATTTTAATTTTGATTTTAATATTTTTTAAAACTTTTAGTCGCATAAAATAATACTTCTCAAATCTAAGGGTACCAACTAGAAATTTGAGAAAATATTTTCATCATTACTCATTAGTTATTAATTTATTACAAATGTAAAATTTAGATTTTATTTTAAATTCATAAGGATCTGTTTTTAATTAAAAACTCCACTGAAAAATATTAAAATTAATATTGAACTGATTTATAACAATTCAAAAACCTGTATTAATCAAACCATGCAAAAATGATACTTAGTTTATTAAAATTTAAAATGATTCAAATTGATTAATAAAACTCTACCTGCATACTAAAACTATAACTTATATCTTAAAAGAGAACAATCACTTTTAATGCAGAGTGAATGATTCGATTGGAGTGTCGAGAACTACGTGATTACACTAACACCGGGTCATAGGTAAGAGATGCGCATTACTGATGAAAATCGGTTGCCTAACTGATTATTCTCTAATGAGACAGAGTATAGGTGTATTGTAATCAGTTAAAATATAAAGAAAAATATTGACAAATTAAAAATGAGTACTTACATAATTGTCATACGTAGTTTCATCCACATGTTTATAAAACTTATGGAAGTAAACTGCTGCTGAGCATATAGTTATATGTTTAAGACCCAGTTTAATACCTATTCGTAAAATATAAATAAAACACAGTACTTAAAAATATGTAGATTTATCATTTATAATTTTTAAGCATACCGCATTCGAATATAAATCGGACAGCAATGTAATTTGACCTGTGTGTCAAATAGTCAGTAAGAGGTGCATCCGGTTTTTTAAATTTGTCTTGACTCTCTGATCGCAGTTTTGTTCGATACTTTTGTTTTGAAATGTTTTTGTTTTTCTTATGAGATTTAACCTTCTGCTTGTGAGTCTTTGTCTTGCTTTTAGTAACACTCTTCATTTTCGGAGCTTTTTTACCCATTGTATTATAATTTTAATAACTAAACTTCAAAAATGTTCTAGAAATCAATGACACACATTATAAAATACACTTAATAGTAGGTGTATAGTTAACTATTTTCGCCTAATCAGTTTACGCCTGATTAAAAATAAATAAGAACATTATCCAAAAAAAAATTAAAACTCGAAAACTTTTCCAAATTGCATTCAATGTATAACAATAATTATTTATTTCACAAACTATAGTCGGGATACTCAATAAAAAAAAATGAGTATTGACTAATGACTATTGACTAAGACGTACTCAGCAGTAAGTTGTTGTAAGCGAACTCGCATACACCAAACAGTGCCGCTTAAGTTTATGTATTTACAATGTGATGGGAGGTAACCCTGATCAGTATTTGAGGTTATTTTTATGAAGATTTTGGCGGCCTTTTACGTAATTTTATGAAATATTAAAAATAATGAAAACAATATTAAAAACATGACATTTTATTGTAATAATAAATTATAAGAAATCAACAGACAAAATAAATCTAAAAAGTTATATGACATCCTCTCTATGGCTCCCGTTGGCACACCCAGTGATAAATTCAGGGAGGCTAAGGGCTCCAGCCCCCCCCCCTCAATTGGGCTTTGTCTTAGTAAAAATCTTACTATAAAATTATAAAAGGCAATTTTTTACTAAACAATCTTTCTAAAAAGGCTGTACCATTATATTTCTGAAAACGGTTTTGAGAAACATTTTGGGTATATAATCACTAAAAATGTGTAAAGATTATTACGGTTACAAGACAGTGGCGTGTCGAAGGTATTATTTTGAAGCAAATGCTCCTTTAAAATGTTTGGTGGATAGGTGTCCCTCAGCCACAAAATACCTAAATCTGCATACACCACAACACAAATCAAGATACAAGATAATTAATGAAAATACCATAATGAATAGACGTCCAATTAAGTGGGTACATCCGAGTATACATATGAAAATTACTACAAATATACTCATATTGCATAATGTTTTTTATTTTCTACTGTAGTGGAAATTTCGTTATGATAGACAAGTATGGTGGGTGGGTCTGTGGGTACCTTGAGTACATTTTTGCTCCTCACCCAAAAATGAGTTCAACACGCTCCACTGATACGGCCTTAGGGGATATATCAATATAACAACCTAGTATAAAGTAACGAATAACGGATATCAAATTCTAATTCTTTGTTTAGCCCCCCTTCCATTGAAAAATCCTGAGTACACTACAGAGCACACCCTTATTATCTTATTCTTATACCTATTTTATATATGCAAATAATACATAATTATACCTGCTAATCTGCGATTAGTTGCTGGCTTGCTGCATAAATAACAAAAAAAAAAATTAAATTTGAAATAAGTGTTAGGTAAATAAGTTTATAAAATAAACATGTCTCAAACAATTAGGTCGAAATGCCAACCTAGGTGTCCATTAAAATGTCTAACGACAGAAATCCCATACCGAGAGGGCTTAATATTTATGACGAACAGTGACAATAACAACCACCTGCACAATCTAATAAATCACATTATAACCATGAATAATGAGGTTTATACAAGCATTTTTGTTCTCAAATAGATGTTTTAAATTGTTATGTTTTACACTTAAACAAATAGAAAAGAACCTAACCCAAACGAAAAAAAGCCCATAAACTACGATGTACCTAGAACAATAATAAATATGTGGTTTCACCTGGGCTTAAAGTGGGAAAAAATTCCATAGTGGATTAATGTCTCTATATATTTATAGGCGTTCCATATGTTTAATGTCTAATGTATAAAACCCTAATTTGTTAAAGGGTCCTCCTACGTCTATGGTCTATCCATTTTAACACCCGGGTTTCACTCGTGATAAAATATGATTGACACTTTACAATAAATATTATTTTTATGCATACAATGGACACGGTATAAAAATATTACAAACAATTCCATTCACGACTGCATGTCTGGAAGTGGGCAAGACAAGCCCATACACTGGTGGGTTTTATACTTGGAAGTTGGAGGAAATATCTTATACAGTGGACGAGGATATCTTTATCATTATTATTATTCATACTATACTACTATACAATACCTATGTTAAATGTTAACTCAAAAATATCAGCGTTTTGAAAAATATACGGTTTGATTCACCAAGCATGCCCGTAACCTTTTTTTTTCTCAAGTAATAAATTTATTCGAATTCTTTAATTTTTTGTACTACATACTTAAGGAGTATCCTGTGATGGTAGAAACTTCTGTTTTACAAATTAAAACCCCCATTTTTTGCTATAAATTATTAAGTACACAATTTTTTTGAAAATTTTCACGTACCTACCTAGTTAACAATTTTAATGAGTAGTTTCTTAGTTACTAAAATGTTTGTACTAAAGATAATAGTTCTAAAAAAAGGAAAAACTTGATTATGGGTACTATTGGGCCATTTTTACAAATTCTTACTGTTGATAGATAAATATTAATGACTATCACTATTTTCAAATCACCATAGCCCCTATATTTTAGGTTAGGCCCCACTTCTTAGATTTATGTAACTAACTGTAGCCCTACAACATTTTCAATGGATATCCGCTTATGACGGTATGTCAGCATATTTTATCTATATGACTAAGTTTATTAGGTATTTATAAGATTCTAAAAACATAATTTTAGGACACCTTATATTCCCGTGGTGTCCGTCCGTTCATTAGTTAAAGTTACCACTTAACGAGTTATAGCAATATACGTAAATACGTAATATAGGTAGGTCAGTGGCGTAGCCAGGGGGGAGGGCTGAGGGGGCTGCAGCCCCCCCCCCCCCCGAAATGTTAATATAATTAAAAAATTGTTTTAATGGTCTATGGTATTCGATCAAAAATTAGACCACCGCTGTGTAAAAAATTGATCAGCCCCATGAGGTACGCCACTGAGGTAGGTACAAGGTAGTTACTTACGGTTGTTGATAGATGCAATTGCTACAATAATTGAACAATATGGAATTATAGTTTATTGCGTTAATGTACTAAAATACGTTTAGAAACGGCTAAACTGAAAACGTATAGCACGCCCACGCACGCAGCGTGAACTTTCCTGGCTTGATTTATTTTATAGTATACCTACTATATAGTATGAATTTTATTATTAAGTAGTAATAGTATAATACAGATGGTTGGATTACATTTCACCGAAAACGTTTAATTTATTATAATAGAATAGTTAATATACCTATCTACTTATAAAGTTATAAGATAATATAATATTATAATTAACTTTTGATTTAATGAACCAACTTACCGTAGAACAGTGAGAGACTAAGATCGTGATTCGTGGTATAAATGTATAAATATTTATTAAACCTACATACAAGTTTTAAGTTATCATGAATGTTGTATTGAATTTTTAAGCCCTATTAGCTATAAATATTGGATATGTGCAATATGATTCAATATATTTCAACAACAAAATAATTTGAAAAATTTTAGTGATTTTGACGAATTTTTTCAAAATTTGAACTTGAAATATGTTCACAAAAAAATTGAAACTATATATTTTTGATATTTTTTAATCATACATTTATGAGAAACCTTGTGTTAAATTTTCAAGTTTTTTAACCTATCAATAAAATGTTGATCTCGATTACAGAATAAAAACTTAAAAAAATTGAAATTGAAAAGTCTATAAATAAGCAAATAGCTCAGAAATAATCAAAATATTTTGATATTTTGTTTAACAAATGTTATATCAGTTTATCATTACATAGAAAATGCAAATATAAACATTAGGTGAAAATATCAAATAGCTAATTATTTTTTGAGTAGGTGTACACATTTTTCAGGATTTTCGCATTTTTTTTATTTTTCCTGGTAATATTGAAGAATACTAGAAATATTGGAATACTGACCTCTTAGGCTCTTAAAAGTATCAATTTTAGTTAGGTCCGATTTTCTATAAATACTCAAAGTTGAAAATCAAGGCATTATTTTGAGTTCTTATCGTGTACATATACAGAAAAAAAAACTTGCTATAGGTATCTAAAATCAATACAAAACACATCATCGTCAGAATCTAAAAAAGGATTGGCCTAAAATAAATAAATAAATAAAGGTAATATAAACATATACCAGTATACTACTTAAACATGTATTTTTTTTAATTTGTATTATAATACATATGCATATCATAAAAAATCACCGCTAGATGCTGATTAATGATTTTAATAATAAATAATTGTAGATGTTATGAAAAGACTCGTCAAAAGTGTGATTCCGTCTTTTACTCTTTTAGCAGCCTTGAGTGATGTAACACGCACTATAAAATATTAAAATATTGTCATTGCTATAGTTGCTACACGTGAGACACAGGGCTGCCTATGCCTTTCGCCGTTCCTGAGTACGACTTTTTCTTAAAATATTATTACAACTATTATCAGATTATTATTATTATTATTTTTGTCCACAAAAATTGTTGTACAGATACTAAAATTTATTCAGCAGTTGGTTACCCTGTACGTTTTCATGAAATGAATATCGTATTAGCCCCCCCCCCCATAGGTATAGTTTGAGGTTAGACGTGTTATGAGTTGTGACAACTAGCGATTGGACGCTTCATGCACTGGCAAGCGACACCACAATATTCTCTTTTCGGTGTTCGGTCCTCGCGTTTTCAGGGGTCTCTCATTTCCGATCGGATTCCGATTTCGTGATCACGATTTTCGAGAACAACTTTTTGTCAATTAATTTTTTTGTAAACTGTTAAATTACAATTAATTAACCATGCCACCAAAATTCGATCCCAGCGAAGTCAAAGAAGGTAATCATTTATTTCAATAAGAATTCTTGAAAAACACGTGTCAAAGTTATAGTTTTCACGAGTATTACCTACATATTTTATATTGAAATTCTGAATTGTATTATTCTTATTTGAGTAATTCATTTCTTAATGATTCTTATATTGGTTAATACGAGTTGTTAGTACACGTGTACCTGATATAATTGTTACATTTTATTTAGAGGTTAAATTTCACGTGTGAAAATACTTATGTTAAATAAATTTGTGTGCTACATCTGTTTTATTCGTTTTAATACTACTGATTTTTATTTATTTGCAGTGTACATGAGATGTGTAGGAGGAGAAGTTGGTGCTACATCTTCTCTTGCTCCCAAAATTGGTCCCTTGGGTTTGGTGAGTGGCTAGAATCATTTGATGTTATCTCGTAACGGCTTGTATAGAATTTACGAAATTAATACGATACATTTTTTCTTTTACAGTCACCCAAGAAAGTTGGTGATGATATTGCCAAGGCTACATCTGACTGGAAAGGTCTTAAAATCACTGTTAAATTAACCATCCAAAACAGAGTAGCAACAATATCTGTTGTACCTTCTGCATCATCATTAGTGATCAAAGCTCTTAAAGAACCACCCCGTGATAGGAAGAAGGTCAAAAATGGTAAGTCTATTCCCTCATCGAAATTCTTTAGTAGCTCTGTGAATTCAATCGACGATTGTTCCTCATGTTAGTTTTAATGACTAGCATGATTTTAACAAACTGTCGTATACTAAAACAATAATGCGAGTTGCTTCACCCAGAACTACTGAGTGTCATTGTCTGGTTTTGCGGACTCTTACAAGATAACCTTTCTCAAATATGAATTTAATTAGTTCATATTATGATTTACTTAATTAACTAATATTATTTTACAGTTAAACATAATGGAAATGTAACTTTGGATGAAATTATTAACATTAGTAGAACAATGAGACCAAGATCGATGGCCAGAACTTTGGCTGGTACCGTAAAAGAAATTTTAGGATCAGCTCAGGTATTATTTAACATAATAATACACTTACTTTACACAGTTAAATACAATTTAATTCATTTATAGAGTGTTGGATGCACTGTTGATGGAAAAAATCCACATGATATCATTGAAGGAATTGATGATGGTGCCGTAGCTATTCCGGAAGAATAAAAGTAGTGAGTATTTTTGCCACTGATGCTCAAATCCTAAAGTATATTTTAAGATTAGGATTTGAGTTCAGTGGTTTTTTTGGTCGGGGTTAGCATCCCATCCACCGCCCTCAGCAGTATCTAAATAAGCATTTCATTTTTCTATAAATAAACTTTGTAGGTTAAGCTACTATTAATTTTTTCATTAATTACCATGGATTATTTCCTGTTTTTCGTTTATCTATTATTTTTGTACTGCTTATTGAATTTAAATCAATGTTATTATAATTTACCAACATAACTATTTAACTGCCTTTGGGTGGCATAAACGCTACTGAGGAGATAACCTCAATAAAATAATCACACTATCTATTACAAATTTAAATATAATTTTTGATTTATTTTAAATTTATGTATAGATATTGTAGTGTTTTGTTAAGTTTTAAATTATTAGGACTGAAATATAATATATTTAAACATTTTCTTTCAGATTTTTGTTTGTGCAATTGGTCAAATAAAGTATTTTTATTCTTTCAACATTAAAATGCTGTGTTTTTTTTACATGTATGACATGTTGTGTACTAAAAAATCCTTTTAACCTTTATATATCTCTGGTATGATGATTCAACAGCTACCTGGGTGAGATAAAATGTATTAGGTGCCGTCTGGTTATAGTATTCTTCCGAAACAAATGTCTAATGTGATCCTAAATTTTGTTAAATCAAGTGTCGGATAGTGGCCTACTTTATATCCAAATGTCATCAGTTCTATAGTTATTTTTCATTTTAAGTCATGTCAATATGTCATTGATTTGTAAATTATATTGGAACTTTTAATTAACATCTATTATTATGGTTTTATGTTAAATTCTCCAGAAGAAATAGTGTCAAAAATTCAAACCTGAGCCTCACTTGCTCTACCACTAAGCTGCCCCTGAGTTAACAGGAGTTAACTCATCCTATATTGAGTAAATGTTCTTAATTGTAATACAATACACAATACAATTGTGAAAGATACCATTTAGGTAGAACCAGTCTTTAAAATTTAGCAGAATCTTACTTTGTACTAACTTATGGGCGGACTTCACCCACACAACATTTATGTATCAGATACTTATATATATTTCTCTGAAGTTGTAGAAGTTGCTTATTATGCTTTATGCACTCGATTTATTGCAGACCAAGCTAAATCTGAGCTTTACATGTAATGGAGAGTTTAAAATACCTATTTTGCATATTTTGTCAATGTAGGGGGAAATTAAGATTGATGTTTCTCTTAAGCTGTTGTTATCTTTGCAGTCTACTATTAATTGTGCAGCAGGGGTCATTTAATCTATACCGCACTAATATTTTAATTTTAAAAAAAAATGTTAAAATGCTAACAGTCATGTGCCTAACTAGGTTAACAGATTTTATTTTTCCATGTGTGAAATTTGTTGGCTCCTATAACTTCCGATCTCTCCTTATATATTTTGTATCTACTCACTTTTTCAATGTTCTCAATTATTTGTTAGAACTAAGATATTTGAAGCTCAACACAATTCAAATATTTTCCTTTTATTTTTAAGTAGAATTTACTCTACGACTAGAACTGAATTTAATGTACTAAGAAACCCAATTAAGTATACGCTTATTATTTCTGCTGCTGATCACAGTGGATATTGAAATAGACTCCTATAATAATTCGACCTTGGAGGCACTGCTTTATTATCTATCAAGCCATTCAGAACATATTAATAGAAAATGGTTTTCAGTTGGTTTTTTCATTATACCATATACCTTATATAAAGTCCCACATGTGTTATCTGTGGATACCCTAAGTGAGGCAGTGAAGTGCTAATTAGCATTTTTATTGAACATAATACACCTGTGTTGCCACCATCATCATACTTGAGGGTATACTGTTGAAATTCAAATCTGTTGTGGAAATATTAAATCCTCACAGAGTATAAGTTAGTAGGTTTATATTAATGATAAAACATAGACTCCGATATAATATAAACTTAATATTTTACTATTCTGTGTTATTAGCAGTCAGTTAGATTTTGTTACAACTGGTAAAGTGTATTTTTACAAACTATTTGCTGTCCGGAATGTACAAAACATGATTCTGAATTCCTCTTTAAAGGGTACTTTAATCAACTGTCAGAATATTGAAATATTGAATCTTGTCAGGGGGCAGGGAGTATTTATGATAATATAAAATTATTTTAAAAAATCAAGTGATGTAGGAAAATAAAATCTAGAAATTGTCATATACAATTTTAAATATCATAATACTACTAATAATAATAAAAAAATAAAAATACAACAAATAATTTATAACTTAAACAAATTAGTTAGCTTGTTTTTATATAATTACATATTTATATACATCAATAAATATACAATAATTATTGTAAAACAACATTTGTCCAGTGGAGCATTTAGGCAGAAGAGCCAATATTTTCTTGTAACTTTACAAGAAAATATCTATAAATAAAATTTACAGTGTATATATAAATAGAACTACAAGTTTTGGCGCACAGATTAAATAACGAGGAATATTTCAATAAAAATTCAAAAAATCGTGGCATTCAGATAAACCAGAATGTTGTTCAATTTATTAACAAAAAATGTTAAATTCTATGTACATAATAAGACCTAAATTATTTACTCCGGAATAATTATTATTTTATCTTCAATCAACGAAGATGTTAGAAAAAAAAAACAAGATTAAGAAACATACAATATATCTTAAAAATATAATATACCATGTATATATAAAAAAAATGATTTTTATTAGCAAAATTAAAGGCCAAATATTAATTTTGAACCAATTTAACCTACTCACGGTAGTGTATCGCACAAAACAGCTCTCACAGCTGGTGAAATCGTTTCGGGGAATTTAATATCGAACGACACCAACAAATCTCCTCTCCTTGATTGTTCTTTAGCATACGGAAGACCATAACCTTGAAATCGTTTTACTGTTGTAGGTTTAACAACTTCTGATTTTAGGTTGAGAGGTAGTTTTTTATCAGTTAAAGTAGGAACTACAATGTCTACGCCACATAGTGCCTATAAATTAAAATTGTTAAATTATTTTAAAATCATTAATGCAAATTTTTAAAAACTTACTTGTTTAAGAGTTATTGGAACTGTATATCTAATATCATTTCCATCTCGTTTAAAAACTGGATGAGGTTTGTCTCTTATTACAAAAACTATGTCTGAAGGTATTCTGTTCATTGCTTGATCTCCTTCTTTTTGAAATGTAATTTTAGTACCTGATTTCCATCCAGGTTTTATATTGATTGTTAACACTTTATCTTCTTTTCTAGAAGTTCCATCTGCTTGGAGCACTCTTCTGGAGATTTTCATTTTTTTTGTACACCCTCTACTAATATCCTCTAATGATACATATACTTCATGTTCAATAGCTGGGTCTTGAGCTTTTTCTTTAGTTCGTCCCATTGGTGAACCATGGACATTGAATGATTGTGACCTGAAAGCACCCATACCAGGTGGTCCATGTGACATTCGAATAAAACCATCATCAAAGTCCATTTCATCATCAAACATTGAACCACCACTATTTCCAAAGATGTTTCCAAATGGATTCGACGAGCCAAAGAACTGCGCAAATGTTGCTCTAGGATCACCATGGAAAGTATATGAGTAGTTGTTAGAATTATTTCCTTGGCCAGCACCTCCTTTAAGACCATCTTCTCCATATTTATCATATATATCACGTTTTTTTTTATCACTCAATACTTCATATGCTTCTGCTACTTCCTTGAATTTTTCTTCAGCTCCAGCACTTTTGTTCTTGTCTGGATGGTATTTGAGAGCCAATTTGCGATAAGCTTTTTTAATTTCATCGTCTGCAGCTCCCTTTGACACTCCAAGGATTTGGTAATAGTCCTTTCCCATCATATGCTAAAATCAAATTCAACTCTCATCAAGGATTTCATAATTAGGTTAAAATTATAATAATATAGGTAATAGTACTAATAGCCTAATAAACAGAATACCAAATTAAAGTTCTTAGTAGGTAGTTGTGATACATAAACACAATCGTAGTGCAAAAAAAAAAATATATGTCTGCTTCAATTAACGGTTTATCTAATAGGTATATATATATATTAATAGTTGTTAAAATAATGATTTATAGCAAAACAAAAAATGCAACTATATTTTATTTGTTTGTTTTAAAACAAAAATAGGTTGGTCACTACTTGTCCATAAAGATATTAATAATTTATTATTGCCGTAAACATTTTATAAATTAAGAATTATGATGCCTATAATCGGAATCAATGTCAATTTTTTTATTTATTTTGTTCTAATTAAATTTGTGTGATAAATTATAACTCATAATTATTGGTACTAACAAATGATTCCAAAATGTTTCCAATTAGAAAAATAAAATTAATTCATGATTATGATGACGTAAAAACCAAAAATAAATATTGTATTTATTGTCATTGATAATTTAAATTATTTAAAATTTAAACAATAAGTATCTATTTAATTAAAATGTTAAATTAAAATGATAAATGAATAAAATGTTATTCTTATATAAATACTGGTGTGTACAGTAATGTAAGCAGAAAGCATTTAAGTATTTCAAACATAAAAGAAACTAATAAGGTATGAACAGTTTTTCAATCATATCACCATTTGGTTAAAATAACATAAAATATAAATGTATTATTTATGAGTTCTTACAAGGATTTCAATGTAAGAACTAAACAACTACTATAGTTATAACTTTGAACTTTCTATACCTACATAGATGGATGAAGGATTGTTGAATTTATAATTCTTATGATACAGATATACAATACCATATAAGTACCTACTTACAAGCTATAGTTATCACCGCTTTAACAAACAATAAAAGGTCAAAAATAATCTTGGTTGAGTATATCGACGTACATTAAAGAACGAAATCGGAAATAAAAATGCACATCTGAATGAAATAGACGTAAACCTTAAATAATGTGCAAAAGTGGATTGAAAAAAATTCAAGCCCACCGGCCACCACATGTATATCCTGCATAAATATCCATTGCGTTGCAACCGGAGAACGAATTATGCATAGATACATGCACACACCAATAAGTACACATCCAAAGATGAGTACAATAATAAAACACTATGACGTACGGATAATCCAATTATTTTTAACGTAGGTAGTAAAAATACAAATTACTTACATGTATAGTGAATAATGTTCTTTCACAAGTAAATTTCACTTAAGATATGTCCACGGGCGTAAAATATTGTGTAGCATATAATTTCAAAAGATTTATGGCCAGTTGTTACTTGTTACACTTTAGGAAATATTATTTTGGGAAAGAAATCGTATTGGCGTACTTCACCGAAAGTGTTCATCGAATAGCATTGCACAACAAACACTGTAGGACACTAACCCACGGGCAGTATTTTACTGAATAAAACACACATATACACGCGCAGCGTATCAAAATCGGGGGTAGAATATTCTAGAATCCACCAGAAGAACGTGGAAGAATAAGACACCAACCGTGGAGGAGAAAAAAACGGACCATTCGAATTTTGATCTCGATTTTTTATTGTAGATAATAAAAATAATTTAAAAGATTAATATAATTTCAACTGAAATAGATAATATTAAATTATTATATTTGCATCAGTAAAATAGTTGAATACACGATACACCAAGACACCATAGCCCCTACATTTCACATTTTCGCAAACCATTATCATACTCCTAAACTTAAATAACTAAACTATTCGTATGAATTTTGATTCTGATAGCGTACATTAGAAAAGGGGGGTTCTCATTAGAAAATCAGATGACAGTATCTCCACGAGACACTCCTCCACTAGTACGAAAAATCTCAAAAACAAGAAGAAAATGTGGTCTTTAACAGCAACTATATTGAAAAATTAGATTTTAAATAAATCTATTATGGAAGAAAAAAAGGGGGTGAGCATGCTTTGTGGATTACGCTGCAGATAGTGTATTGCCTATATAAGCTTTAAGGGGAATTATATAGTCATTACTCCTAAGTTCAATGTATAAATTTTATAATATTATTTATTACCTAAAATTAAACCATAATTAATTTATTAGGCATACGTGAAACCGTGGAAGAATACTAATGCGCAGGGTAGCATAACAATTCATTAATTTAATGGACAAATAATCATGCACCACTAAAAAATCATATTTAATAGATTGGAGACAAAACCCTCCGTAGTTTTTAAGAATAATTCAAAACTAATTTCTTATGAGATATCTAGTTTTGGTCAAAAATAACGAAAAACAATATTAACCCCACAAAGAAAAAAAATCCGGTCTATAAGTATGTAATAAGCCAAAGCTAATGATTATACGTGGTTTCATGCCGACCTACTTTTTTCGCATAAATTGCTTCTCAATTATCGTTTCACCACAGCATTTACACCTTTACACCACTATTGTTAATATTTCAAATAAAATTATACGTTTGACAGTTCTTTCTGTCTGACCAGATTAATTCATCCATCCCAAAGGTAAATTCGTTGAAAAATAAAAAATTTAGGCAAAGTATTGATAAATCGGATAATTTCGTTTCTAAATTTGGTTGCTGTTGATTTAACAATATCATTGTAAACATTTTTTTATGAATGATCCAACAGAACATAATATTCATTCTTTTTAGGATAAATTGCAAGGTAGTGCTCCCCGGGTCGTATCCCGTTTCCCCACATAATTCTCTTGTTATTTTTTTTATAAAACTTGGTCATGAATTTGTGATTTATAAAGCAATAAATAATCAATAGACACAGTTATGTTTTAATATCACAAAACGAAAAGAACACATCAAAATTGAAGATGATATAAAAATTTTCCAACGTGGAAACAAATTATTAAAAGAAATTACAATGAATACATTAAGGCATTAAGCTCTTACAAAGAATTTGCTATATTAAGGAAAGAGTGACAAGCGATCCTCCACAAATAAAATGAATTGATTATTTAAACGATATTAGTTATTTAATTATAAACACAACAAATAATTGTATGATTATTTTTTTATACTATTATGATTAGGTATGCAATTATGGAATTTATGACCTTATAAAATGTACCTAATCAATTTTCTATGAATATAATTAATTGATGCGAAATTTGTAATTTAAAAATTTTACTCTAAAAATAAATTCGGTGAACTGGTATGGCGGCAAAATGGGAGCTGACCGCCCACTATCTAATATTATACCTAAGTAACAAAGTGCAAGCCGCGAAGGGGTACTAATCTGATGGGGACACTAACGGATGTGTTAAATAATTTTCAATTTGCAAATGTTGTCAACATTTGAGCTTAAATGCTTATAAAAAAAAATCGTACCTATGTTTTATTTTTTTTTAAATTTTTAAGCTGCTATTATGACGCGTGTAAGGTTAGGTTAGGTTAAGTTGACCTAACCCATAGAGTAATTACTCAATGACCTAACCTAACTTAATCTTGTATTAAATTGTCAAATATTTTTACCCAACGATCATAGACATTCTATTATGTCTATAGTCTTTGCCAACGATACATCTTATCGACATATATACAGAATATAGTAAAAAACAATTGAAAATGTTTATAAATAACCCAATATGAGTAGAATCATATTGAATATTTAGTAAAATATTCAAGTACCTACGGTTATTAGTTTTTAAATTTTAATAAAATAAGAAATCGTTCAATGAGATTTTGCTAATCTATTACGGGTGAATACCCAATGTCTAACTTCAAACACTCATAAAAAATAATTTGACTTCGGTAAAAGTTAACTTTTATTTTTGTTAAACGTAGAAAAACTTTGGAGAATCTTGTATTAAATTTTCAAATATTAGATATAAAAATAACGTTTCTATTCAAAATAATTTACAAATTTTAGTGGTTTTAATGTGTTTTGTCAAAATTTTAACTTTAGGTGCTAATAATTTTTTTTTCTAATTTCCACTAACAACAACTTATGAGAAACATTGTGTAAAGTTTTCAAGTATTTTGAATCTATATTTTATAATATATATTTTGAAAATTGTGTATAGAAAATTATGATAAACATTCGGTGAAAATGTAATAATTACCAATGACCCATCTAGGTATGATTTTTTTTTTCGTTACACCAAATAACAAAATCCATTTTTTACAAAAAATAGTTCTGCATACAAACCTCTATTTGACCTTATTTTATTATTTTATGCCGATTTTTGAAAACTACTGCTGTAATTTATCAAATTTAACTACCTCAAAGTAGGTACCAACTATAGATTCACATTCCTTCCTCTCGGGAAATATGCTGCAGCAGAAGACCGAAACATTTTTGACTTCCCCAAAAGTTAATGACGTAGAATAAAACACACATCAATGTAAAATCAACACTTTCATTGCTTCATTCAGAATTTAAAAAAAAGTCTTGGGAGAATTCATCCCCTATATCTAACTGTATTTACATGATTCAAACGTAAAATAATGATCTTTAAACTTTTGTTTTTTTAGTGTAATTCGACTTCGACAAATATAGTAACATTATTATAATCTTGACTCATTCCAATATTACCTGAGTTATTATTTTCTACCTACAGGCAGAGCCGTGCCAAGAGGGGGAGGGCAATGGAGGCAAATGTTTAAATATGTAGGTACCTAGTACATGAAATGTAAATAATGTAATGTTAATGAAAGTTAGCACAGCACGTCGGCACTGACTATTTAGGTTGTAGAGTAAAAATATAGATAGGTACACAATACAATTTTCAAAATATTTATTTATTCCTCATCCACCACACGAACCTATTCAGTAGGTACTCACACGACACACTATCCAATCAATTTAGTCGGTATTGACTTATTCTAAGTTATTAACAGTAATAGGTAAATTAATGTAAATCTGTTTTTATGAGAGGAAAATAGTTAAAAACAACTTAAGCCTATAACAATTAACAACGCTTTTGTTTGAATTTGATTAAATTTCCAAAACAATCTTAGGTTCTTAAGAAAATTTTATAATAAAAGGACACAAGGAATCTAACCATTTCACCCCCTTTCTATGTCGCTGATATACAATACCAGGGCTCTTTTGTAGTTTGAGCTAAAAAAAAATAATAGGTACCTATCGTTAAATTCTTGTTTTAAATTCCTATAAATTTAACTTACGAGGAACCTTGTATTACACTTTTCAGGCTTTTTGATGCAACCAAAAAAGTGATATACACGCATTTATGGAAATAAACTACAAATACAAACATCGATCCGATAAGAATCTAAAATTTCAAATTTTAAATGTCTATTAGATACCTAATAATTATAAAGCTCAAAACGCGACTAGATATTTTAAAAATGTTACTATGAACGTATAGAAAATGCTTATATTTAAGCATTTGGTAAAAATGTCAAGTACGTACATACGGTTAATTCTTTTTCGGATTAAGTATGACAAAATATCAAGAATCGATTGGGTAGAAATAGTTATAGTGACTGTAATGGATTTTGTCAAAATTTTAACCTAGAACACACTTATAAAAAAATATTGTATTTGTGAGTATGTATTTTCAATATTTTTTTAAATTATACCTATAATGTAAAAAACGTATGAGAAACTTTGTATTTAATTTTTCAACTTTTTGACCAAGCGAAAATATCGACATATAAATTCAAAAATGCCATAATGTCTAAAAAATAATGTAAATAATTTGTATGAACGTTTGAAATTGAAATTTTTAACACATTGGATATTCACTCAATTTCTCATACATCGATTTTCTTATTTTGTTATAATTCAAAAACGAATATCTGCAGATACTTGACAATTTGACATTTACACACATATACAATAAGTTTATATACAAATACAATTATTGTATATATCTGTGATTTATTATGATTTATGTTCTGATGTGAAACATAATTATGATAAAGAATTATAAAAATGATAATATTAGTAAGTATAGTTGTCATTTGCCACGTCAAGTTCAGTATGATAAACACAATTCCATTTACCTAGAGTTGCTGAACAAAATATACAGTAATAATTCTGGGGCTAATAAATACAGAATTAAATAGTAAACCAGTAGTGTGTAACACAGGGTCAAAGTGTTGCTTAGGCAACTCCTAAAATATGGGCGGTGGCTCGTGGATATTGATAGAAAGAAAATAGGACATTTTATTGGAAGGTATAACAATAATATGAGTCACCCAAAATCATTTGAGAAATATCAATCTATTTTTATATCCACGACTATAGTGAAATAATTATTAGCCATTAGGTTATGTGACAATGTGACATGTCTTACAACACAACAGGATACTGGTTTATTTGAAAGTGGTAATAATAACTAATAGCTCAGTCTTAACTATTTAAAAAAAAAATTTTTTTTTTTTTAAACTAAAGCTTATTTTATAATGTTAAATACACAAAACAATATTCACAAATCATTTATTTTTGAACACAAAAAATTGGAACAGTAAAATATATTAACTTAATTTAAAAATTAACAAATATTTTTTACAATATTAGAATCATTTAAAATACATACATAAAAATTATATTATATCTATCCATATATATATAATATATACTATATGTCTATATACAGTTTCAAATATTTTTTCTTTTATTATTAATTAAAAATAATTTTAAATGATTCTAAAGATTCATTAAAATAATATATGAATTTATTTATATGCAATAATATTGAAAAAATATTTTAAGAAATAACTGTACAAGTTGGTAATTTACACATTAATAAATATACTAATTATATTCATAAGGAAAGGACTTGATAATTTAAAATTAATTAATTTGAATTTAAAAAATAAAGTAAAATAAAACATGAACAAAATCAGTATCAACTACTAAATATATAGTAAATAAAGTATTTATAGTCATAATATAACAATATTGTTGATAATTAATAATATTTAATTACAATATAATTAAAAAATATACATACACTTCTTAGTAAACTCAAGATATTCCTACACCCACTATCATTTTTACCATAAAGCAGTGATGTGGTTAGGTAATTAAAATCAGTATAAAATTGGGTTTAAATAGAGTATATTAAATAAATACTCACCTTTTTTTGAAAATGATTTTTTTTTTTTTCATTGAACTTAAGCCCGGCGACTAAGGCCATTAGCTGTTGTAGGGGTTATGAACTGTAGTAGAGGTAAGGTTGGCACGGTAGATTGTTTTTATGATTGTTAGGGTTGTTACGGTAGGTGTGTGGGGCAAGGTTTTTACCTATTACGAACCCGGGTGGTCACCCATCCAGGAGCTAGTAGTTGTGGCCGTTACTTACTCCCAGTCGCATCCGCGACTGGTAGCAGCCAACGCGCCACGCCAAGCCACTGAAAATGATTTGTTAACTCCAAAGAAACTCAATCTTTGAAATTTTTATTTTTAGGGGTTTTTTATAGGGCCAGTTCATAATAAATTTACATGCAAATAAATATTCTCAAACATTATTGTATACAACTTCATACACAGATTAAATAATAAAATAGGCACACACAAATAATATAGTAAATTATTTACTTGAAGTATTGGGTTTTTTTTTTAATCTGAAAAAATAATAATATGTTGTACATTTTTAAAATTAATTTTATATTATAACTCACTTATTAGCTAATCTTGACTTGAGAGCACATGTAAACTTATTTGCAACTTTTTTATCTAATGTTGTTTTGTCTTCCAATACTTTTTTGCAATTTATAATGGTCATTGCCATTTCTTTACAAGTCATCTTAGGTGGATCACGCTTCTTCTAAAACGATTGAAAATTTTAATTAGATTTTTAGTATAATAACCAAATTTTGTTTTTTTGCATTACAGGAGGTGGAGTATTATCTGCATCAAAATCATCAATTAAACCAGATTCAGAAAGAACTTCTTCTTTAACTCTTTCCATATTTAAGATACCACCTAATGTTTTAAAATAAAATTATACTATTAAATACAACACAAATAAATCATAATGAGCATTCTTGTCATATGCGGACTACCACACTTTACTATACGTTATATGTAATCTACCACATGTTTTTTGTATTTAATTAAAAAATACTTAATTAATTTAGAAATAATATATTATTTAATAGTAATAAGAAAAATATATATTTAAAATACAAATGTATTAATCACAAGTTATCTTATTATCTTATTCTAAAATACAATAATTTTTTTTACCTCATTACCATTACGTACACATAAAATATTATAATTATAAAAAAATATTCATTATGTATTACAATATGATTTTATGTCTCTTAAAAAACATTCAAATGAATTGTCTTTATCATTTTTCCACCATCATTCTGCTAAATATAAGTCAATTTTCCTTTAAAAATGTGCAATAGTATTTTCCTCGGTCTGAATAATTAAATTGAAATTTTTGGCAAATAATTAATATAATTAACCACTTTGATTAGGATAAAAGTTTAATTGTCTCAAGAATTGGCACGGTAGATAACAAGAGCACAGTAGGCCATATACAACAAGAATACCTTCTAATATCATTCTGTTATTATTTATATATTATTCTTCATTATTAATGTAATTTTTAAGTTTATACAAACTTTTTTCATCTATAATTTGATTAACCGATCCACCTCTTTTTTTACCATTCGTTTTTCGAAGCTTTACATCTTGATCATGTAATCTAAACAAATTAAAGAAAATTAGATATGGCTTATTAAAATATTAAAATATTTAATTTTGCATTAATATCTTAATAAACAATTGAACCATATTATCACATAACTACACAGCCTAAATGTAATGCTTAATTCTCTCTGTGTAACTTTTTTGATCTTTTCAGTTTGCATATTCTAACAGTAAGCTTGTAGTAATAGTATTCCCAGAAAATATAGTTGGTTAATTAGCAAATGAAAATGTTTATGAATTGAAAAAACTAATTTATTATACTCTATTTAAATATCTATAAATAATAATATGATTGTATCTATTTAAATATTTATCATAGTAACAAATTTATTTCCATTCCGTTGTCCATTAAACTCCACACTAATCACTGAAATGTGAAAACACACCAACTACTATTAGGCACTAATAAATCAAATTGTGTGAATAGTGCAATAGTAGGTTAGCATAAACCAATTATGCAATCTTAAAGTCAGTGATCTAACAACCGACAGTCAGCCACAGCCCACAATAAATTAAAAGACACCTATGGTTTCAATAACCAAAATGTTCTATAAATGGTTGCCCACAAAGGCATTCCTGCAAATACCCTAATTAAAAATATATAATTTTAATTCAGGTATTCAATACAAATTAAGAAACAAACAAACATTATTTTACTTACTTTTTAATTAATTTTCTAGCTAATTGATTAGCAAATTCTGTACGTTCACCAGTACGTCGATTAGCCAAACGTTCTTGAATCAAGTTTGTTAACTCATCATTAGTGACAATTTGAGAAGTCATTATCTTTTTGGAAAACCAATAATATTAGGTATTTATTTATTTTTATATAATAAAAGATCATAAGATATTAATTTGTTACTTTTTTCTTTGATGGTCTGATGTATACACCATCGACTAACTCGTCTTTCACTTTTGCTAAATTTATAGACTTTTTAGAAGCCATTTGAAATATATTTGGAATTTTGATATATTAAAATTTAACGATAAACCAGTTAATAAAGGTAATTTAATATCGTATGAATAAGTATTTTACTGGTTAAAAATTATTTTATGTTTAGAAATGCAGTATACTTATTAATAATTCTTTAATCTTAATCTTGTCAATTTGATATTTATTCGTATGGCATTAATGCAAAATACTTTTATTATGATAATAATATAATGGCCAATGGGATCATTTATTATTAATTTTGGAACATGAAACATGAAAATATGAAATAATCACTGAATATAATGTAATCATAGATTATAATATAAATAACAAACCAGACAGTAAATAAAAATTACAAACTAAGATAAAATAAGAGATATACATATAAGATCTTCAAAGACTGTGGTCCATGATAAAAACTGTTTATAATTTACATCGCTAGGAAAAAAAACTCTTTTTATCAGCATCATGGAACAAAAATATCATATCCGTTCGGCTTGGATTAAGCAAAATTGTATTGCATTATCATTTAGCCGATGTCCCGCCCGCCAAATTCAATTGTATTTAAATTTGTATTTTATTTTTCATTATTTTATCTTCGATTGGTAATGTGTTCTAACTAACAAAGTAAAGTTTAATTAGTCAATAATAAGTACATACAACTAAAACTAAAAGGGTTACTTTAATTACCTAAGCAATAAATAATAGTATATGTATAATGTAAATTAATTATCACACTATTGAGTACTTTATCTAACTTCGTTTTATTTATAACATATTAATACATCTATGGTTGTGGTATTTAGATGATGAGTCTCTTGCATTAACACTGTAATCTGTACTTATTCTTGAGTAGTTTTACATTTATAATACTAAATAATAATTGATGTATCTATATTTTCCAAACATAGAAAAATAAAAATAATAAAACATTTAACATATAATTATTAATTATAATTATATTTATTTATAAATGTATTTGTTTAATCGAGTCAAACATGTGCACTTAAAAGATTTTCAATTTACTATTCGTTAATTTTCTAAACTCTACAGGTCAACTTATTGGGCGCATGTAAACTTCACCACAAGTACCTTTTTTTAGTGCAAACTCCGCCAGGAAAAAAAAAACCGGTAAAATTGCAATGGGTTCATTTAAACTCCGCTAGTGAAAAAAATCAAGTAAAATTAAGTTCATGTAAACTTTGTCAGTGAAAAAAATCAAGTCACAGTATAAAATTAAAATATAGGATAAATATCATGTACATTATTTTAATATCCCAAATAATATACAAAAATTAATAAAAATAATAATTGCCAGAACAAATCACCCAAATTTTCAAGTGTAGGTATTAATGTATTATCATAGTAAATAATTGTAATAATCATAAAATATGTATCTAGCTGGATATTACATTCATCAGACATGAGTATTGAGTGGGCGACAACACGAGTTTAGTTATTGGAAATATAGTTTAATATTTGTCGTTATTTAAATCTGCTTTATTTGTATTAATTGTTATGAAGCGATTTAGCGATGGGCTTTAAATGAGTTTTTCAAACCAGCAGCTAAAAATCCAAATTTGGCTAATTTAATTTTAGAAAAGTGTGAACTATTAAGTTTGGATATGATTAATTTAGTTTTACATGAATATTACGGCGCAGGAAATATGAGTGGAAAATTCAATGGGGTTCAAAAGCAATGTTTTTACATTGTGCGGCTCGATTCGTAGATTGAATTTAGCTCTCTTGTCAGATTTATCCATCTCAAGCGTAAGAAATAGCCTCAATTTTATAAAGGATATTACTAATTGTTTTAGAAACAATGCCTTAACTGGGAAAACTCTTAAAAATCATATTTTAAATCATGTTCCTGAATCTAAAAGAACTCGTTTGGTCGGTCTATGTGAAAAGCGTTTTATAGAACGCCTGTTTTTGTTGAACTTTTTAAACCAATTATAATCAGCTTTCAAGGTATTCAAGATACAACACGTTCAGTATCGTCAAGTGCTTCTTTATTTTTAGCTGCAGTGGAAGAAAGTAGTTTTATTATTTCTTTGTTAATTTGCACTAACATATTTTAAACTTCACGCTTCCGTTATCAAATTACCTAAAACGCTAAAAAATCCGTAATTATCCAAATTAATATCTGTTGTAAATAATATACAAAAATATAGGTTTCTTTACAAATATTTTATCTCTGACTATTTATTGGCATCATTTACCAGTGTTTATATAAATTTGTGCTTTTGAAATTTATTATGATGTTATTAGATAGGTACGTAAAACATTTTAAACAATTAAATAAGAAAAATATGAGGGTTTAATGCTAGAACACAAAAATAAATAGTACCTAAACAAATTTAAAATCTACAAAAGTTTTTGTACAATAATTAACTATGATGATAAAATTACAATAGGGATTACAAATGTGTAAACTGGAGGCACACTGCAGTAGTGTATCGGGCAGGTTTTTTGCAGCACTAAAGTGAGTTCCTAGTCTTGATGGCTAAAAAGGCTTGAATGTGAATTTTGAGTTCTTCAAGGTGTAGTGAATTTTTGATAGCTGATTTAGTGTTTGAATTGTGAGGTTTTTATGGATATTATTATTTGTTTTATTCAATGGCAAATGTGATCATAATAGGAAGTCTTGGAAATATTTTGGGGGTATTGAGATAATCCGGTTGTGCACCTAAGGTAATCAAAATAATACGGAAGTACCTATATTTATAATATTACTTCTCGTACCTACTCCAACTTCTTCAAGTCAGAAAAATATCAATTTTACCTGGTGGTGTAATGGATAAATATCTTTATTTCATAATAAACATAGTATAATGAAGGGTTTTTACACCTCCATGCAGTGCGCCCTTGTGTTTGCAGAACTGTCACCCCAGGTCCCCAGCTATGTTGAAATCATCACAATCAGTAAACTTTTGTCAATACTCAGCCTTTAAGTTAAAGTATGGTAGATACCTATTGAAATGTAAATTTTCTTCCTGTATTTTTTTTTCATTTCCGACCAATTTTTGACCAAAATTTAAATGTAGTGCATTTATTTCTATTTTCTCTTATATGAAAGTTCTTATAAACCTATTTACTGTTTCGAAGAAATACTATAAGTAGGCACAACATATTCATTAAAAATAATCATATCTGATATCTATTGAAATTTGTTTTATATTTAAGAAAAAAATGTTTGTTGTTAATGAACTAATAGTATACTTAAGCTCCATAAATAATAAATTTGATGTAATAGTTTAAGGGGATTGCAAACGGACAGTTTTTAAGGAGTTCAGTATAGGCAATAATTTATGTGCGTGCGTGCGAGCTGTACCGGTGTGTGCGTAGTAAATTATTATTAGTGTTAGTGACACCACCGACTAGATTGAGAAGCGGCACGAGCGGAAGTTCTGAGAACATATTATTATATTATTTTATAATACGGGTGATGATAATATCATAATTACACATTTGTTGTATAATGTTCCTAATAAGGAATTTTTAGATTCTGAACGGAGTGATGAATGTATTGATTTTACAATGCAATAATGTGTGTATTCGAAATAATGCTTCGATTTTCAAAAGTAGCATCTTTTCTGAAAGGAAAGTGAATCTAGTTGGTTCTTTGGGGGGGTCAAAAGTGAAAAATATCCAATAGTTTTCAAAGCATTTTGACTTTTTTTGAGTTATGTATAGACAATTTAAATTTTCGATTTTTCTAAACATTTTTTTTTTGAAACATCGATTTAAAAAATTTGGCAGCCCAAAAAATCCTGAAAATTTGATACAAGCTTACTTATATTTTTTTCTTATCAGATAAAAAAAAAATCTAAAATCATAACTCACAACTTTTTTTTATAGGCACTGAAAGTTCAAATTATTACGAAACATGCAAAAAACGCGAAAATATGCAAGTAATTTGACAGATGAAAATTCATAAAAAGTTTTCGATATTACCGGCACGCACGGTACAAGTCACCGCTACGACGTCGCGAGCGTGAACAGTAAAGAATGTATGCTAATTTGTATGTACTTTTTGTCAATCCTACTGATGGACCTAATGATGCGATAAAACTTCTGAAAACTGATTTTAATTCCTTAAAATGTCCACTTGAGATCGATCAAGCCACATTTTGAGATTTTAG